TCTCCCGCGTGAAAGGCAATCGCTAGGCGTGCAATATGGGTTCCTCGAAGGTGAGCGCATACCGATGTGACGGATACTGCAGGAAGCATCTGCTGACCACGACTAAATATAGCCACACCGGTGTTCCGCGACCGCGGCCTTGCTTCCTTACGTCGAGCCGAGGATGGGGCTTTGTTATTAGATGAAGGACTGATCCCATCCAAAGCCCGTTTTGTCCGGGTGCGGGTGATACAGGATGGCAAGCTTTCGGGAAGCTCTAGACCGACGCGTTCTACCTTCAACGGCAACGCAACGATTGAGGATCGCATTCTGCAAGCGCGTGATACTGTTTACGAAGAGGAGCTGTTCCATGAGCTAGTCCGAGAGGCTCGAGCGATCGCTAGCTTTGGCGTGACGACACGCCAGAATCTCATTCAAATTCCTGCTTCCGATAACCTCGAAATTTTACTGGACTTGGTTGATACTGATGAAGATACCTCGCAACCCGAACATGATATCTCACAGCAAGGAACTTCGCTTGCAGATGGTTTGGCACATACCATCCGGATATTATTGGCATATGCCCACCGTCAAAACTTGCGTCGTCGGACTATGCTTCCGCTTCCCCTGACCCCGAAAACGCGATCTGTTCCTGAACACCAACTTATTCGCCCGGTTCTAGCTTACATCAAGCATATGTCTGATGTACGCTGGCTCCAGTCATTACTCAAGGATCTCTTCGGTGTTTTGCAATCAGCAGGGTTGAAACCTCCAGCATATACCACAAGAGTCTTTTCAACAAAGAGGCAGAAACAAACCTCTACTGCTCCAGTAGTGGAGACCCTCATTGGACAGTTCCTTACCCCCTTGCTGTCTACCTTCCATGGGAAGCTTTTGACCCCTCGGGGTTCTTTCTCTATCGCAATTCACACCAACCTTTCCTCACCCCCCTTCGGCACCACCTTTGATGTGTCATTCAATATGCCCAAGTACCCGGACCTTGAGTCCCCTGGTAAACTTTCTCAGAGGGAAGAAGTGGAAGCCGCCATCAACCACCTCTTGTTGCTGGATGTTGTTTTTACTATCTCATCCAATAGTGGTTCACTAAAGTCTGAAAGTGACAAGGACCAAGCGAAACGCAGCTGGGAAGCGATTTACCCTCAACATGGTGAACTTCTGATCCCTAGCTCCAAATCAGAAAGCCGAAAAAAGATGAAGATTGCTTTGTCCCGTCATGAACTGTCTGTCGAGATCTACTCCGTGCGCTGTATCGACGGGACCGGCCGTGGGAATTGGGAAAAACCCTCTTCCCACTCAATGCCACATATTTGGAAACCATCTCCTATTGCTGGCTCACCCAACCAACCCTCTTTAATGGATTTTGTGTCCGCCGCTGTGTCACGGTAGTGACCCACAGAGAGCACACATTGCCACTCCACTCTAGGCCGCCTTGAGCCGATACTCGCTCCCCGATCTTCAATCAACTGGGCTTGTGGTTTAGTGGTATAATACTCCCTTAGCATGGGAGTGGTCCGGGGTTCGATTCCCCGCGAGTCCATGTCTTTTTGTTTCTGAATTTTTTTTGCGTGAAGCAAGAAGTCGTAATGGCTCGCTCGCGAAGTGAAGTAGTGGGTCTACCGCAAAAATTTTCTTCCCCATCTATTTTCGCAAAAATCAATACATAATAGAGACAAGAGTTGCATACCCTGTACAAAACATGGCTACAAAAGGATGAATTGAAATGCACTTCCATTTGAGTCACGAACATACCGAGTGAGGACCGGCGTGCCCAACTCATAGCTTCGACCTTAGTCCATTGACGGCCCTTGAGACTGTGAGCGTCTCTCGGAGTCTCTTTTCGCCCAGTCCATATGAAGCTGGGAGCCAATCACTGACATCCTCACCCAGAATCATCAAAGCCAACGCCTCGCCACTCAGCAGGCTGTTTGCCATACCGTATCCATTGAATGCAGCAGCAATCCATTCGCCGTCCCCTTCCCGACCCGTCATCTCTGGTGACAATCGCCCGACAATTGGCAGACCATCAGGGGAATAACCCATAACTCCACTCCAGGAACTGACCAGACGCCAATCGGATTTGTCGTTTTTGCCGAAGAATCGTGGGAGGACGTCTTCCAAGTGCTTCACGGAGTCGTCAGTCACAAAGCTGTCATCTGCGGATATTGACTCATCAAAACGCGCATGCTCGCCGCCGAAGTAGAAATAGCCGGTCTTTGCACTCTGTCCTAGGTAGTACAGTCCAAATCCAAGACGTTGGGTTGCAGGATCGTAGGTCGGAGGGTAGTGGAAGCCCCATGACACAGCTGTGCCTTGATTTGGCACAGCATTCTGCGGATCTTGAACTGTCATTGTCCCTTTGAAAGGATAGACAAGCCCTCTTAGATGAGGAAGGAGATGTCCGCTGTAGCCATTGGTGCAATGAACTACAGTCCGCGCTCGTAGTGGACCGCGAGAAGTGTGCAGTGTATACGGATAGGCAAGTGTTGAAATGTGCTCAACGGACTCAACCGGTGTATGTGTCTCAATTGTCAGGCGACCTGGGTATTTTTCCAAGAGTGCCGCGAAAACTTTGGTGACAAGACGATATGGCCAGACTGTCCCAGCAGGAAGCAGTGTTCCTCCAGACGCTCCATGAATTCCGTATTCCTAAAGAAAAAAAGATCAGAATGACACTATAGATCACACCGGCGAAAAGACTCACCTTGAGCACAGCATCCGCATCTAAAATTGTATATAGCCCCTTCTTAGAAGGATGATCGATTTCCAGCCGCGCGATACTTTTCTTGAAGTCGTCAAACTTCCCTTGGGTCAAAAATACTCGTAGCTTCCGCAGACGTTGCATCTCGCTCAACTCCACGGCATCATATTCTTCAATCAATTCCTGCATCTTCTCCAAATTGCGGAACGTAAAGTCCACAATCTTGCCCGCCGTCTCGACCCCATGAGCTTCTGCAAGATTCATATACTGCTCTCCAGCATTCGCAGCCATCTGTCCACCATTGCGCCCAGTCGCACCCGAACAGAGCGTACGGGCTTCGAGAACGGTTACTGTGGCAGTAGGGTGGCGTTCCAAGAGGGATCTAGCTACCGATAGACCCGTGATACCGGACCCAATGATCGCAAAATCTCGGTCAGTTGGCAATTTTGAGGATTGGACGTCGGCGAGAGCATGTGGAATATGTTGCCAATAGGACTCGGTGGGATTGGGTCGTGGTAGGCCTGGATCAGCCGTAACGAGGCTGAAAACTAGACAGTGTTAACCTTTCTATTTATACTACGGCAGAGTCAAGCTGACCTGTATCATTCGGCGCCATGGCAAATGATGTAGAAGGCCTAGAATTCGGTAAAACAAATCGAAATGTGCGATTGATGCTTTCCTCAGAAATAAGCAAGTTCTTTGGAGAAAATAGGAGCTGTTATCGAGTAAATATATGGATGCAGCTAACATGCGGGGTTGATCTTATCTCAAAGGATCGAACTGCCCAAGTGGGAATAGAGTGAATTCTGTGTGGCATCCCGATATCGGAATGATAGACTATGTTATTTATTTACATGAATTGCTTGGTCTAAACCGATTAAACATCTAATCAGGTAAACAATCCTAGTAGCATCTGTTTATTCATAGTAACGACCAAGCTTTAGGTGAGACCTCGGGAATGGAGATAAGGGCTAGGAGCCGAGGGGGTATCTAGTGTCTAAATTTGGCTTTTCTGGATAGGCTAAGCATTTAAACATTTAGCAGTCGACCTTAGGCAATTTGATCCTATCCTCTGAGTCGAGATCGAACGCCGAACGCCGAACACTGAAGATAAGATAGGAGGGAGAGAGGAGAAGAGAATGAGAGAAGTAGACAAGAGAAGGGGAGACGCCGATGAAAAAGGTGGAGTACCGTAGTGGATAGCGACCGTTGGCAGCTAAAAACCGGCTACCTAAGTGTTTTATAGCGCTCAGTTTGTTTTGTATATACCTCGTAGGTACTATCCCTTTCACCCTACACTGCAGTTTGCGGCTGATTATTCTCGATAGACATCTATGGGCACCTCTAAGACCCTTTGAAAGACAACTGCAAAAGACATAATACTAATTTGATTAAATCTCTAACATCATCCATACTACATTAACATGATATTAGAAGTAAGATATTGTTGGCACACCCCTCTAACCTGGTTAGGCCAGGTCTTTCTTGGCACTCCATTTTTGTGTAATTGAAATCTAAGTCGGAAAAATTATAGAGCCCTCCTTTAAATAGTAGCAAAATCAACAGTTCACTTGCCATTTTCTCGTTTGGTAAATTGTGTAGGTAATGATCTTTCCGCATCCGGAAGGAATCATAGTTTATCCCCAATTCAAAACAGTTCACATACCTCGTATACTTCCACCCGCTTGCGTAAATACCACGAGAACGTGACCATTCTCCTATCTATTTAAAACAAGCCGAGAGGAATGGCCTGGTGTTTCGTTTTTCACACTCTTGGGCGCGCAGTGTCTGCGGGTCATCACCGTTATAAACAATCCATTACCTTTCTTCAGCACTGACCATGATGCCACAGCCAATTGTTTCCGTGTTAACGGTCACGGCGTTACTATGCGGTCTGTTTTACTTTTTCGTGGCCTCGCACAATTTCTCAGTCCGAAACATCTCTCGGTGCGTTGTATTTTCGTTATTCCGCGGAAACTTCATTTGGCAATCTAACCAATTGTAGGGAATACTCGGCGCTGCAGATGAACAACGGGTTCTCCTTTATCCAAAACCTTTACAGGCCCTACATACACCCAATAGACGCCCTAGAATTCGATGATCAGAATGGGAAAACTTACTCACTACCGCAAATGCCGAGATTTACGAAGCCCTTGAGAGATAAACTCCTTATTTTGGATGTTGACACCCGGCCACTTGATGGACCAGGTGAACTTTTGAATGGGAGCCGACTGAACATGTCAAGCGCTCATCATAGCACAATTGGTAGACTAAGCCACTACATATACGGTACGTCTCTGCTATGTATGTTCCTTACCACCCAACACTGACCATTGTAGCTACAATACATGGCTATGATTACAAGCTCATCCAGGCTTCTTGCCCTACGGGTCTTCATGGCACATGGAGTAAGGTGACGGCGATGAAGGAAGCCCTGAAATATTACGAATTTGTTATATTCCTCGATGGGGATGCTATGATTCGCCATCCGCACCTTCCTATGGAATGGCTTTTCAACTACTGGGACATAACGCCCGATACACTCGTCGCCATGGCACTCGACCCAGACGAACCACAAAATCGGGACGCGAAAGGAAAAACACTCTTGAACACGGGATTTATTATTGGACAGAAAGACTCCAGGACGCAGGAGCTTTTTGAAGCGTGGGAATCATGCCCTACCGACATTCGATACCCCGACTGCTCTAAATGGAGTCAGCAATGGTCGCATGAGCAAGCTGCCTTCGGGAATTATCTTCGATATGACACTGCGCTAGAGGGAGAAATAAAGACTCTTTCATGCGCTGAGGCGAATGGATACCCTGAGATGGCTAATATAAACTGTACCGGGGATTTTGTTCGGCACTATTGGATTTACAAGGATCTGCTGCCGGCTACTGTTGAAAAATCGATTACAGAGTATTTCCTACCCAGAGTGCAGCAGCTCTTTCACCAGAACTTCGCCAGCGTGGTGCTTAATATAAGCGATTCCGTGGTGTCAAGCATCAAGGAGTGATGGATACAGTTGTTCACAGGTCCAGTGTTTACATTCTAAGAAGAGTTTCCTAACTGTTGTTATTCTCTTCGATTGTCTCATTTTTTTTCAAAAAGGAAACTAGAGAATGCAAATATGACCTGTTCTACCTTGCATCTAGACTTGACTCGAGAGGGTGATCATGCTGCGTCAACAAAAATAATCATGTACAGCGAGTCAGCGAGAATTTGACAGCCTTGATAGCTAATAGCCACTAATTGGTTCTCATTTGACTGAGCGGGCATTTGTAGGCGAGCGTTTCTGGGATCAGTTTGCGTAACCCTAGTGGCCCCAGGGATGAAATCCGCAGTATCATACTGCGGTGGTGCTGGACGGCTAGCAGTGGCCGGCGGACGCGATAGCCACCTCGTCACCCAAGCCTGCCAGTCTTCTAGACTAGGCTGCCAGATAGCAGCGCGCACAAGAGCTGGGTCTTTAAAAACCATGATGGCGCCAATCCCCCCCCCCCCCCCCCCCCCCCCCAGGTAAATTATACTGTGGGTCAGACTTTCGGTGGTATAGAAGCCTGAACTCGTTATCATTGTTTGTACCACTCGTGTGAGGAACAAAAAGTGCCAGGGTTGACTTTAACCCTGTAATGCTCAACGCACGAAACCAAAATCTGCCAGACTCAAAGATTTCCTCAACCATGCGGTTGATTTGTTTACAATATAGCTAAGGCAAATTGGCAGAGAGGATATTAGTTGCAGCCATGAACTACTGCAGACTGGGATAAACCGAAGTACACACACTATTTGGGTTTCTGTGCAGAGCCATCCATGGAAACCTACAACCTGTAAAGGTGGGCGGTACATTTCCAAAGTTGCTGTCTTCTCATATTACCTAGATACGCAGTTTTCTACTTCTGCTCTTCTCTTCACCTCTACTATTCTCTGCAGCTTGAATTCTCTGTGCCTAGACCGTTTTTTGCACCTTCACTTTTCTCTGCGCCCGCCGATTTGTCCGCGCCTCGTGGTTTCCCTGAATCTTTACTTTTTCTTACTTTTTCCGACGACTTTACTTGCATTTCTTAACACTTTGACCAGCAAGACGTCCTCATCACTATGGATCGTCGCAAGCAGGCCAGTACCGACGATTCGGAATATTCTATCACTGAATCAATCAAGGATTTTGCTCCCACTGGTTTCCAGTTGGCAAAAGATACCCTCTTTCCCCTGGAGGACATCGCTGCCGCAAAGCCAGAAGATATCCTGACACGGATGCTCTCGACTAAATCCTACATATCAACTACCTCTAGCCTCGCAGAACTGAACAACGCAGCCCGAGATAACCCGTCGCAACATCACTTCCTGGAGATCGGACAAGGACAGTGCGGTACTGTCTACGCCATTGTTGGAACTGATACCGTCGCGAAACTTCCCAACTCCCCAGCCAAGGTCCCCCAACTGCTTATTGACTTCAAGATGCACGCCTCTGTCAAGGAAGCAATGGACGATGTTGAAAATCTGATGAAACTGGACATCCACATTCCCAAGTTGTACAGCTGGGAAACGCCGGAGTCGAACAGTTTCTGGATCAACAACAGCCTTTATTTCCCCAAAACTGCAGATGTGCAGAATTTCGCTCTGATCTCAAGCCGTGTCTTTCCCATCCCTCTCCCAGTTAGGGAAGCTATAGTTGATGTTCTTTGCCCTCCAACCCTTCAGGAGTACAAGTCGGAGTTCCTGGCCAAGCCAGAGAACAAGAACTGCTTGATTCGAGTCTATCTCGGACGCCGAATGAGGAACAGGACCAACCCGAATGTGAAGGATTTCAAATTACGCAATTTCCCGCTACATGTCAACGAAATGGAGTTTTTGCAGCTGGACACCTCTGCGTTTGCCCAGGTCATGGCTCAAACCCTGGCCATTCTACACTGGAAAGCCGGCGTTGATGGCAATGACGTAGAGTTCATTCTTGGTAGCTCCCCCTTGTTGTCTCCAATACCGCGGTCAGATGAGATTACGGGAGTGGGTGAGTGCTCGCTAGGACATCGATTTGACCTTTCTCGCCGGTCAATCAGCCTGTGGCTTATCGATTTTAATATGTGGGTGCTATTCCCGAATATTGCTGGACACTGCTAACATGTCGATAGGTGCGCAAAGTTCGAGAAGAGCCCTGCAGGTCTGAAACTAATCGTGGACGCTTTTATCTGGAATGACCCCTACTACCCGTCACCCGAGTTGACCACTGCTAATGATAAAAAGCTTTGGTCTGAGTTTCGCAAGCGGTACCTTGAGGTTAGCCGTGTTCTGACTACGAGCGCAATGCCTGGGCAATTCATTGCCGAAATTGAGAACCGAGGACGTAAGGCAAATGTTGGGGAGCTTTTCTGATAACCAGGACGGACCAAGTACGTGCAAGTGCGTTGTTTTAATGAATGATGGGGGCGTTGTTTTTATTATCAGGGGATTTGATAGTATTATTAGCTTGCTTTTCCATAGTTCTATAGTCGCAATTGAAGGTTCATGAACACGATAAGATATACGAATCAATAAAATGGCACGGTATTCCATCTTCTTTCAGGGAGACACAATACACGATATTCGTATAGGTGTCAGCCTAGCCCGCCAAGACGGCATCACACTGATATTTTAATCATGCCAAGTTGAATCCAAGGATAACTTTTGTTTTCTCTTCGCCTTTAGTTCCGCTGTTACCCGAGGGCCCATGCATGTATCCGACGATAGTAAGATCATTTGTTGTACCATAACAAAGCTATTTTGTAAATACCTACCTCTTACGTGGGATCTCAGGGGTATGAGGATTAGACAAGGAGTTGCACGCACAACGTGTCACTGCAAAAAACCTACAACTGGTGGAGCACTCTTATACCGACCAGGGGCTTCCGAGTGAGCGAATCGAGTTTCACAGGAGCAATCACGTTCTAGGTATAGGAGCAATATTAGTACGGAAAACCATGTGACAATATGCGCGGCATCGCTCCTTTAGTGCGAGTCATATGCACCGAGGTTGTGTGAATGAACCGGTCAGACCATGTTTGCCAAGGGTACACGAGTGGCTAGTTGTACAATAATTGTTGAACCCATAATAATGAATACGAGGTTGACGACCATACGGAGAACATTCTCGCGAGAAAGACAATAAATAGCAACATTGGAACGGGGCCAGAACAAACAGAACAAACAAATCAAACAAATCAAATAGTATCAGTGACGTCAAGTTGACATCTCACCGCCCGTACTAAACCTAAATCGACCGGTGACATGTGTTTGCAGCCAAAATGTAAGGGAACGCAGGTACCATGAAGGGTCAGACCACTGTAATCTCAGGGGGAGGCATATACGAGGCATATACAGGCAGTCCAGAATAAATACAGTCCAGTCCGGTTCAGCATTTTCTCATTTTCCTCAACAGTTCCTTATGTTTCTTGAAATCCAACTTGATAACTTTTAGCTTCAAGTTGTTTCTGTGACGCAAAGCATCCACCTACCGCCCAATTTCTCTCACCGGATTGGGTTTGACCCCTCCACACCCCACCCATTCATAACTTGGAGCTTTACAACCCTTATCGGCTTCTTTTTTTCGACTTGTTTTCTTCTTCCTAATCACTTTTTATCTCTTTTTTTTGTCTATCGACCTGAGATACAGGTCGAAGCCTTCAATTCAATATGGAGCCAATCAAGATTGCCAATCATCCGGCTAAGAGACGCCGCATCGGTGTTCTCACCTCTGGTGGAGATGCTCCCGGTATGAACGGTGCCGTGCGGGCCGTTGTCCGCATGGCAATTCACAGCGACTGCGAAGCCTACGCCATTTTCGAAGGATACGAAGGACTGGTAAATGGCGGGAATATGATCCGCCAGCTGCACTGGGAGGATGTCCGCGGTTGGTTGTCCCGCGGTGGCACCCTGATCGGCTCTGCTCGCAGCATGGCATTCCGTGAGCGTGCTGGCCGGATGAAGGCAGCAAAGAACATGGTCCTGAAAGGTATCGATGCACTGGTCGTCTGCGGTGGTGATGGCAGTTTGACTGGTGCCGATGTTTTCCGTGCCGAGTGGCCCAGCTTGTTGGCAGACCTCGTTAGCTCGGGGGAGTTGTCAGCTGAGCAGGTGGCACCCTACAAGGTGTTGAACATTGTGGGCCTGGTAGGTTCGATCGACAATGACATGTCTGGGACAGATGCCACTATCGGTTGCTATTCGTCCTTGACCCGTATCTGTGATGCCGTCGACGATGTCTTCGATACTGCATTTTCCCACCAGCGTGGTTTCGTCATCGAGGTGATGGGCCGACACTGTGGATGGCTTGCCTTGATGTCCGCTATCAGTACCGGTGCAGACTGGATGTTCCTCCCTGAGATGCCTCCGAAGGAGGGTTGGGAGGATGACATGTGTGCCGTAATCACCAAGGTTGGAATTACTTCAGTGTTGTTCAATATCTTATTTTTACTGATTCATGGGGCTTGACAGAACCGAACCGAACGCGGCAAGCGCCGTACAATCGTTATCGTCGCCGAAGGAGCACAGGATCGGCAATTGAACAAGGTCTCGAGCTCGAAAATCAAGGATATTCTCACAGATCGGCTGGGATTGGATACCCGAGTAACCATTCTAGGCCACACTCAGCGAGGTGGTGCAGCGTGCGCTTATGACCGCTGGCTGTCAACTCTACAGGGTGTGGAGGCCGTTCGTGCCGTGCTAGAAATGTCATCCGACTCCCCTTCACCAGTTATCACCATCCGCGAGAACAAGATCATGCGGACTCCTCTGATGGAAGCAGTTCAAGCAACGAAAGATGTGACGGCCTTGATCGACAAAAAGAATTCGATGAGGCCATGAAGCTGCGTGATCCAGAATTCAAGGAGTACTACAACGCCTATTTGGACACTGCAGGCCAGGACCAGAAGATGATTCTTCCGGAAGGCAAGGTATACACCTAATTCCACAGCGCATCCGGGCTCCTCAGGCTTCCTAGATACTTACTATATCACAGAGAATGCGAATCGCTATCATTCACGTTGGTGCCCCGGCTGGTGGTATGAACCAAGCAACCCGTGCCGCCGTTGCATACTGCCTGACTCACGGCCACACCCCACTGGCCATTCATAACGGTTTCCCCGGATTGTGCCGTCACCACGACGATAAGCCAGTCAGCTCAGTCCGCGAGGTCAGTTGGCTGGAAGCTGATAGCTGGGTCAACGAGGGTGGTTCGGACATTGGAACTAACCGTACCCTGCCATCTGTTGACATGGAGAGCACTGCCCAGTGCTTTGAGCTGTACAAGTTTGATGCCTTGTTTGTTGTTGGTGGTTTCGAGGCTTTCACGGCCGTTAGCGAACTGCGCCAGGCTCGTGCAAAGTATAATGCGTTCAAGATTCCGCTCATCGTGCTCCCAGCTACAATTTCCAACAACGTCCCCGGGACTGAATACTCATTGGGCAGTGATACCTGCCTGAATACCCTGACCGTCTTCTGTGATGCGATTCGTCAATCCGCCTCCTCTTCTCGCCGCCGAGTGTTCGTGATTGAGACCCAAGGTGGCAAATCTGGATATATTGCAACCACAGCTGGCCTCGCTGTCGGTGCTGTGGCAGTGTACATTCCCGAGGAGGGTGTTGATATCAAGATGCTCTCGCGTGACATAGACTTCCTGCGTGAAAACTTCATCCGCGACAAAGGCGCTAACCGTGCAGGCAAGATTATTCTGCGTAATGAATGTGCGTCCAGCACATACACTACGCAGGTGATCGCCGACATTATCAAGGAAGAGGCAAGGGGCCGATTCGAGTCTCGTGCCGCTGTTCCCGGTCACTTCCAACAAGGTGGTATGCCTTCCCCAATGGATCGTGCTCGTGCTTTGCGTATGGCCATCAGGTGCATGCAGCACATCGAAGGATATGCCAATAAGAGCGGTGATGAAATTGCCGCGGACCCTCTCTCTAGTGCTGTCATTGGTGTCAAAGGTTCACATGTGCTATTCTCCCCCATGGGTGGTGAATCTGGACTGGAGGCTACCGAGACTGATTGGGTCCGCCGTCGCCCTAAGTCCGAGTTCTGGCTTGAACTACAGGATGTTGTCAATGTTCTGTCTGGACGCACCTACGCTACCAAAAACGAGACCTGGTCCTGCTACGAGAGTACGTAAACCGACTGCGACCCTGCTTATTTGCTTTTTCATCCCCGTTCAAATCGTTTCGTCGCTGCTCGCTTTGCTCCCCCGTACAGTCATCATTTCTGGTGTCCCCTCATACGAATGTTAACAATTGTCGTGTTTCCTACTTTTCAGACCCTTCGACAGTCCGATCTGTCCCCTCGGTTCCCAGCTCCCCTTGAAAGGATTTCCACCCACAGGACCACTTATTTCCAACCAACAATGGAATCCACGCCAATGATACACCCGGGATATGCTTGAATGTTTCCCCCAAGTACTGGCCGGCGAGCCATCCACTAACTTGTGATGTGGAGGGCGATCGCACTGAACGTCAGTTACGCGTTGTATGGTGCTATGCAATAAGTCCTCAAGACCCAAGGTTGGTTTACGTGAGTGACATTTATGCCTGGGAGTTCGGATGATCATGCCTTTTTGTTTGATGGTTTTCTACCCCCCTTGAAGACTATTGATCTGCGACATACAGTGCGTTGTAGATAGAACCATCAATCTGAATCTTGAAATTACTTCAAATGAACCAAAAACGCTATGGGCGACTGCTATCGTGAGGATAAAAGAGGTAGTGCAAAGACAGACAGACCGGTGTATCAATCGCAACACTTGACACCGAACTCGCACAGAATGAACTCCAGATAGATGCATTATTCCACCGTTCAACGTGGAGTTCAATGACTACGAGTACACCATCTTCTCCAATTCATCGAGTAGCTCCACTGTCTCGGCAGGGCTTGCAATCCAGGCAGTCGTAGATGCAAGACGGGCCTAATCAGAAGAAAAGATGTTAGTCTGACTAGTAGCCAAGGAGAGTTCTATAGTCTTCCCACCTTGAAATCATTAGCCCCAGCTGATAAGAACTGATCACCAACATGCAGTGTTTTAGCTGGATCGATGCCACCGAAATAGCGCTGACATACGCGCACACCCCATGATTTGTCGCCAATATCCACAAAGACATCGTTGCCACCGTTGAAAGCACAGAATGGCAATCTTGCCCCAACAGCCGAACGTTGAACCGTGTTCTGCACCACCAACACAGTCTCCTCCAACTGCTCGCGACTGATTCGGACACCGTTTACCGGGTAGACACCAACCGCACGATCCTTGCGTAAAATAGCAGCCGGCAGATTGAGATTGTCAGCACAGGCTCGCAGAGCAGACTCGGCAATATCAAGCAGCTCGGTAATATCATCACCAATCCAGGACTGCATTTCATCTAGCAACCATTCATTCCGCGGCACATAGGTTAGTCGGGCATTTGATGTCGGGTCGAAGCGGAATAAGAAATTGCTCTCGCCGCCCATGACAATCAGTCCTTGTTTCTGATCGGCTGTGAGAGTAGTCGATTCGTGCATCGCATCAAGCAGACCCTGAAGGCGCTCGTAATATTTTGGCGCGTCGGTGTACCCGGCCGCGGTCACAATGCCGACCTTGCGGTCTTGTTCAAGGAGTCGCAAAATCCGTGGGATGACTGGGTTGTCGGATGTGAGACAGGCGCCGTCATCGTAGAGCGTTACATCTCCATCGAATGTGACTAGTTGCACCTCGCTGGAGCGAACAAGACCCAGCACCTGGGCGGAGTTCAAAATAAGTCGGATATCGTTGAATGAAGGGGCCACGAAGCGTCGTCGGCTGATGAATCGCTGCTGATCTTGATACTTGAATGCATCTTCCAGATATAGCTTGGTGAAAAATGTGCCCACTGACGGCACCAGAAGGTTCAATTTCGATTTTCCGGGGGCATTGCGTTCATGGTGTTGGACTTTAAATACCGATTAGGGACCATCCCCGATTTCTTGATTTCTAATCCCCACTTACTATGATCAAGCATCAAATTCTCTACATCTCGCATAATCTCTGCATAGCGAACTTGGGTGTCGGCCGCGACTGTCTTCAGCACCTCACCGTTGTCCTTGTAGATTGCCGTGGGCTGGGAATGCAGGACAAAGGGGACGGCCAGCAGACCCTAGAGGGATTAGAATTGGCGAATACGACATGACTGAGCGAGACATACTTTGATCCATTCGATCTGCAGATTGTTAGGCAGACTCTTTAATCTTTAGATATGTAGTACCGACTTACTAGTTGATCCCGGCGATGGGTCTACATGGCTATGGGGTCAGTGAGGGGCACACATATTCTTGCGGAGATAGCCGTACCTTGAGGGCATCTAAGAGACGTTAGTGGAGGGCAGTGAGATAAAAAAGACGCGATGACGTACACTCAACCCTATAACGCGTTGTCATGATGTGATTTGAGGAAGTTTTGGGGAGAAAGGTGGTGCCTTGATGGCTCGGGGGTGGTTGTTTGCTTTGGTGCACGTCCCTTTTGTGAGAAATTGTGACTCACGCGGAGCTCGGAGTATAGACATACGAAGGAAATGATATATCTCGGAGTTGACTATTACTCTATTGGTCAATTTAGCCTCAGTCTTAATTACTGAGAATCTAGTTCGGCCTTATCTTCGTACTAAATGACCACATCTGGACCCTTGCTCGTAACGCGTGCAATCACTATTGGTCTCCCAAAAGTGCCTCAACGCAAAATACTGCGGCCTATACAAGGCATCACCAATTTGAAAGCCATTTTGGATGACTCCGAGTGCCGAAACAAGCCCTTCAACACTGCCACGGTGTCTGGCCAAGAGCAGGAAAAGCTTGATTAGAAAAATGAGGCCTGGGAATGTAGACTAAGCAGAAATATAAATATTTGCGATGGTGACCCTTTTTTTATGTCCAAAAATCACAAAATCATTCAATATCAAAGCAATCCTTCCCTTTGGAGGAATCGAACTCTACTAAAAGAAATACTAGCTGTATCTATACAGTCCACTCCACCAGCCATGAACATGTCTGAACATTACGATGCCCCACCAATGTATTCCCCATCTGAGGAATTCAATTCCACCCTCGATGAAAAGACTGACAACCCCATGATCCTCCTACCCGAGAAAAATGAGCCCGGGTTTGCTGTTGCATCTGCTCTGAGACGAGGCCTGCAAATACCATCCAGATCCGCTGCCTGCACATCAGGATTCGAGTATCCAGACGAACTCTCTCATTACGGCATCTCCAAAGACCATTGGGCGCAGTTCACACAAGTAGTCTGCGACGAAGCTAAGCTTTCACGTCGGCAGTGGACCACTGTGATTGGCAGAGGCCTGGGTACAATGGCAGTGGGCGGACTGATGGTCGGCATTCTGGGTGCTATCCCCGCGATATTCATTGCCCGCCTTACCAGAAATCGACGAGAACAACGGAATCTGATCTCGGCAATGGCTGGAGCTCGTGGTGAGCATCTTGCTCGTCATATTTCGCAGTGGAACGAGACGGTCTTTGGACCTAGGGGTGTTCTGATCCGGGTCGATTTGCCGGATGAATATTTGAATGATATGGAATATATGGATATTCGCACAAGTGGTGGATCAGCAGGGTCTGTTAAGAAGTCTCGGGATAAGGCTGCGCTCAAGGCGAGAATTGTGATCATCCCACTGGACGGGCCGACGTCAACGGGGAATTCCGACAATTGGGGTTGAAGGAATGATCGAAATAAGGCGGGAACAGAAGCACTATTCATGTATTTCAGCGGGTTTATGGGGCAAGAATTGGTTGTTATAATTCAAAAGGGATTTATTCATTATGTTAGTTTCATTAATCATGACCAGCAAATGAATACTAGAGATATCTAGAAGATATTCAGACTCGGTTCTCTCTGTCCTGCCTCTCAACATGTTGAGCCGTTCCGTGCGTCTGCACCGCCATCTCCATCTTCTCATCCACTACCTGGTCACGTTCATCGGCATCCCGGTTACCATACCGGCCAATCTTGTACCACGGCAAAGCAAATAGACGATCCATACTCTCCAATGAGCGGCCTGCAGTCTCCGGAATACTAAACCAGACCCAGATACCACCGATAACCGTAATGGCAGCAAAGCACCAGAACGTACCCTTGGGGTCAATTCCACCCTCTGCGACGGGCAGAAGCATATTGGGAACTGCGCGCGCATTACCATACTGGTTGGCAAAGTGGAGAGTCATGGCCATGGAAGTGCAAAGAGCACGGATGCGCAGCGGGAAGAGCTCTGCAGTCAGCAGATACTGCATTGAATTCCAGCCGAGAGCCCATCCAAAGCCAGAGAGGTAAATCATTGCAATGGCGCCCTCGCTAGCGCTCTTCTTGTCAGCCGGTACCTTGTAGCTATCGTCGACGCCCATTTTGGGAACGGAGGTCAAGAAGCCGGCGATGTAGATCATGGCAATTGCTTGCAGGGTGATACCAAGGAGGAGCGCTCGCTTGCGTCCAATTACATCAACCAAAAAAAGAGCACAGAGAATTGCGGCAACCAGTTTGATGATTCCGAACACAGCAGTGACCAGCAGAGACTCGTTACTGCCTGTGACTCCTAGCAACTTGAATAAATCAGGAGCGTAGACAGTGATACTGCCGGCTCCGGACCACTGCGAAAGAAGTTGGGCCATGAATGTGAGGTAAACTCGGTAGAGGTTCGATGGGACGAGGAAGGTTTCCTTGATCACGCCCATAGCGCCAGACCCCATTGTGGCCTCCATCTCAGCTGCATGTGTCGTTTGAATACTGGATATCTCGCGTACGACATATTCATCGTCGGATGGTAGCCCACGGATTTTTGAGAGATTGGAGATAGCTTTTTCGAGCTGGCCGCGTTTGACTAGATATCGGGGTGATTCGTGCTGGAGGAAGGAGAGGAGGAATATTAAGCCGGCAAAGATAATATGCAGACTCGTGGGAACGAGCTATCTTCGAGTCAGTATTGATAATATATGGTACGGAGTGGATCACACATACCCATCGGTTGTGCGTGTTGTCGCCGAGGTTGATTTGGCAACCATAGTTGGCGAAATATGCAAGGACAATACCCAGATAGACAAAGCCTGTGAAGACACAGGTACAAAGACCACGGATAGAAGCGGGGGCCTTTCTTCGTTAGTTGGTATGGATGTATGACTGGGATAATGAGCAACTCACAATTTCAGCAAGATATACAGGAGCAACGACAACTGTCTGGCCCACACCGAGTCCAGCAATAAAGCGACCAGCATAGACAGCACCTAAGCTGCCACCGTTACCCATGAAAACCGCGATTCCCACAATCCATAAAACACAAAGTTGGCGGGTTGCCCAGATACGACCGATGCGATCACAAACTAAGAACGCACTGTATAAAAACAGACCGGGTTAGTGAAACGAGATCCGATATAATAAAGATCAAGGAAGAACCCACAAAAGAGCGCCTCCAACAGATCCAATCTGGACCATTGCAGTGACATTTCCCTTGATGTTGGTCTGTTCCACTTGGCTGTACGAGTCATAGTTGATGTAACGTTGAAAGTCTTTAGAATTGAAGGCACCTGAGATCAACCCCTCATCGACACCTCGGGCAGCGCCCATCAGGCCAAATGAGATGACCGAGAACCATAATCGCCAGTTGAAAACCTCCTTGGGCTCACCCAGGTCTTTGAGGCGGAATATATTGACTGGTTTCTTTGCTCCGCCGGCCATGATGGGCAACACTCAAGTATGTAGTTGAATGCGGGGATAATCCGGGGGTAGTAGGAGAAGAGGAAAAAAAGCAAACGTGAGCCAGAGCAAGGGGTCTTTATAGCTATGAGATGTTGGTCCCACGACATGCGGGGAAATCTGGGGGCGGGTGACCGGAAATCCCAGCCCGAGAAATATGTCAAGACCGAAAGATCCCTGTACTCCGTAGTTCAAATGAGCTGTGGACTGGTGAGACATGATACACATGATACACCGGGACAAGCCAAGACCCGGGGAACAGCGCCAAGAGAGCTTGCGTCTTCAGTCCCAAGTCCGAAGTTGCCGTCTTTCTCTTTCCAGGGATATCTCAACGGAACATGGCCGAGTTCCTGAATCACCACGTGTTCCCTTGGATTGAAATATGCAGCTTCCCTCGAGCACTGTAGGGTCACGGTGGCTCGCTTGTTTCCTGTCTTGTATGTTCATTCCCAGATGTTCTTGACATTCTACTCCGACGCAGGACGTACTGGAGTACATGATCTGCCAAGTCTATTGTTTTCTTCATCGAACCTTGACAGTGAGTTTCGGACAACGTCCGGATGAGAATGTGTGTGCCGTACGTGGCTTGCGGGGATTATACTAGCCTATTTATCGCGGGGCGAAAACTAGAGAAAACCCCATCCATGAACGATTTGAAGCCACTGATTGGTTCACAGACCACCACAACAAGAAAGAAAGACGATTTCCTTGGCGTGGGGTGCGCTTGGACACGCCGATCACCAAAGTCTCTAGTTATTCCTCGCGTGTTTTGTAATGAACAGGACCGTACCGACATGATCGGCAATCCTTTGAGCCATGTGCAATTTCCTGGCCACATATGTTTGTTGTAATTCGTTATTCAAGTCTGCCAATCACGGATCTTTGAAGTAAGACCCGTACAGCTCTAGAACATTTGGTTCATTCTTCGGCTGCTCAAATGAACCGAAGAATTTTGGATCTAGAAAATTTTACGCGTATAACGCCAATGGAGTCCTCAGATAGCCTATGTCTTTGCCAATAATTCATTGTATGTTCGAGACGAAGGCTAGTGAGGAGTTCTAAGGTCATGAACCGGGGCAAAATTGATTACTCGAGGTATAGAACCTGGCTATGGTCGCAGGCGGAAACCAGGATTGCGCCAGTCCAGGTCCTGAATCTGTTGGGGGGAAAGTCCCGCCAAGGCGCTGTGGACATCGACACGCACACGGCGCCGGTTTTCCCATATGATATATGCCCATAGACTGGCCCCAAGAAGGAGAATGACGGTTGAAGTTGCGAAGTTGAGACCATTACCAATAGGGTAGTTAGGCCCATCAAAAGGCAAGAATGACCAAGTGCTGATCAGCCCACCGATATTGCCGAACATCACCGTGGTTCCAATAGCCGAAGATCTCGCAGTGTCTGAAATCACATTTGCCGATGCGATTGCAGGACATAGGGACCCAAAGGAAAATGCTCCACAGGCAATAATAAAGGTGGCCCCATATCGGACCATACTGGCTTCGCTAGCCAGGAACATGATATAACCTATAACGATCCCCGTAATGATTAGCCTGGAACCTGGTATACCCTGCAATCCTTGTACTTTGCAACCAAGGTTGCTCAAGGAGCTGAGACTTACCGGTCATCATTAGCGGCGGGCAGATAATGAAGAAGATTAGGCGATGATCAAATCGCCAGCTGAGGTAGGGGAACAGCACAGTGAAAAACGCGCCGACAACATAAGGAGGCACAGTGTGCAGCTGTTGAGCCACCACAGTGGCATCGGGGTAAATGGTTTTGACAATAGTAGGCGCAAAGAACCCAAGCCCCTGAACGGTAATGTTGTCCAACATAAACATTACCCCAATCACGATTGTTACCGGGCTGAAGATACCACGTAGTGTCTTGGCTACATCGAATTTGTCGAGGACCTCGGTCGCGCCAACACGTTCCGATTTCACACGGGCAATGGCTAGATCCTTCTCTTCCTCGGAGAGCCATTTGGCTGTCTCAGGTCGGTCGGTCAACGTGAAGAATGAGATGAGAGCAATTCCAATGGTGACGATACCCTCAATCGCAAAAATCATACGCCAGCTGCGGAGGGAACCGAAATGATCGAGCATGAGAATACCCGAGGCTAAAAGACCACCGAACGCTCCAGCGAGAGGAGCCATGACAATATATAATGATAGCCGGAAGGCAAGTTCACTTCGTCGATACCAACGTGAAAGGTAGTATGCGATTCCAGGCATGAGTCCTGCCTCGAACATGCTAAAGGAGAGGTTGTTAGCACTGTCGATTTTGCGGACTCCAGGGCACATACCCCAAAAGGAAGCGGACACCAGATGCGCTGCGCATATCAGTGACAAAAGCCGTGGCGACTGAACAGATACCGAACCCCAATGTGATCCCTGGTAGCCACCACCCCGGTCCGATCCATTTGCACATGAGATTGCTGGGAATCTCAAAGATAATGTATGAGATAAAGAATATCGACAGCACAGCATTGTAATCATAGCCCTTGAGTCCAAGGTCCTTATCGAAACCGGCCAATTTAGCGTTGCCTGTTCCAGAAAAGAAACGGATTAGTGGTTGAACTGGAAATAAAACTCGGAATATAACAACCGGGGTTGATCACATACCAACATTGGCTCGATCGATAAAACAAAAGAGATACAGGATTGCAACAGTCGGGACAATATACAAATCAATCTTGAGTCGCAATCGTGACTCGGCGGCCTTGTCAAATTTTAGCAGTGGCTGGCCATGTTCGTCTGTCGCGAGTTGGCCCTTTTCTGCTGCACCATGGGTGCCTTCGCCCATCATATACTCTTTGTGGTCTAAAATGACCTTTTCATCACCAAGAGGCGTGGTGCCTCTCTCGGCGTCAGCCATGTTGGAGTACCTGACAGTGGATTGAGCTTGGAAGGGGTAAAAGGGCGGTCTGAAGTTTTCAGATGACAGGGATCAGGGAAAACATAGGGGGCAACCGGGTATCTTATAGGTCAGAAGATCCAAATGATGAGTCTAGTATTGTGGGGTATCACGGACTCAATTCCGACCTGATATTCGGCTTTTTCAGCAGCTGGAATCCCAATCTGCCGCTCCCAGTGGGAGAGGGATGCCTTGCTAGTCAGAACTGACAGTGGCAGGCCCAATCATAATAATTGTTAGCACGCCAAAGTCTCCGAGACCTATATTTTCGAGATAAATTAAATCAATGGTAAGCCACGCTTGGAATTTCCCCAGATGACTTCGAGATTTCCCTAGACTTGTGGATCCACCCCGGATTGTATCATTGGCTTTGTGGGGTTATCCGAATGAATTATAAGCCCTAGTCTAGGTACAGCCTAGGCACTTCGTACGAGAAATCCCGATCCCCTCATCTGACTATCTCTTAGTCGTCTGTGACCAACCATAACCCTAGAATTGGTCAGGCGTTGTGATTCTCCATAACCCCGAGTCTTGCAAGAAAGATGCATCGGAAAGATGTCATCCGATCGGAACTTATCCCGAAGCTGTCCCGAAGCTGCTCGCATCGAATGAGTTTAGGCTATTGTCAAGAGTGTACTGGATAGTGATTCATGCACGACGTCTTCAGACGACCTCGGGTTGGGATTTGGATGCCTTTTTACAAGGTGCTGGGTCATGTGACATAAGAGGGCATATTCAAATATGATGAACTTGGAGATACTTCTGGGGTGCGACATAGATTATCAGTGAGAGAACAGTTTTGAATCAGATTGATCTCCAACGTACGCAGAGGTGGAATAGAATACACCGCCGTGGTGTGACTTGATGACACAGCACCACGTGACCCGGATATATACGGATAATCCCTCGGATTAAACGGATGAACTGCACAGATAGGAGGTGTGAGATTGCATACAAATTTATTCATGTCTGAGGCATCGGATAAAGCTCAAACAGGTTGGCGAATCCCTCGCGCATGCCAAGAATGCCGCAAACGTAAAATCAAGTGCAATGGCCTGACCCCGTGAGATTTTTTGGTCTATGTTCGGATAGTGAATACATGGCTAATATAACACCAGGTGCAAAACTTGCCAACTGCGCAACACACCCTGTATATACAGAGACTATATTCGCCATAGGCGAAAGAAACATGAGAATGAGGAAACCCCCGAGAGGAATTCACCTCGTCAAGCTTCCCCAACTGGAGTGCCGCAGCGCACAGCCTCCGTCATGAATGACTTCCCGAATAGCGTGTCTGCGACACATATGGCATCACCGTCATGTCGGATGCAGCTATACTATGGCCCCACATCTCATTTCTCTCTCATGCAGCATATCTATCGGGATCTCGTCTCCAATCCTGCCTCCCAGCCTGAACCCTCTGGCGGAGTCGAGGAGGCTGGAGCTGGGTTGGATTTGTTTAGCTTTCGTCGCATTTTCTTCGGGACACCAGACTTTCATGAAAACAAGTCCCTCGGGAAAGGAGATTTGTCTATGATGTTCCTGCCGTACGACTTGGCTAAGCTTTTTCTGTCGCGATTTCTCTCCAGCCTTTATCATCTGATGCCACTTCGCCCAAAGATATATTATGAGCAATGTCTGGACAAACTCTACAATTCTTCGCCCACAGACCATCTAGATGCTTTCACCCAAGCGATCCTTCTCCTTGCCATGGCAAGCGCGGCACTTGGCACGGATCATTTTGCCTGGGGTGATGTGCTGTTCGAGCGTGTCAAGGCTTCATTAACCGCGTTTGATGATGTGGTGAACCTTCAGACTATCCAAATCTCATTGCATATGATAAGTTCTTATCACCCTGTCTTGTTGTTTACAGACTGACATACTTGGATTTTACGCCAATTACCAGAATGAACAAGGTCGGCCCAACTCAGCGTTTTTATATTTGGGTTCTGCTTCTCGCAAGGCCTTAGCAGCAGGTCTACATAAGGACGTTCCCCATGATGTTGATCAAACCCCGGAAAATATTGAAGAACGACGGGTAACTTTCTGGTCTCTTTACATCTACGAAACGTGAATTACCCCTTTCAGTTCGATACTTGATGAACTTGCTAACTTCATATATAGCTGGTTCTGCTTTCACGTGGGACGTCCTAGCTCCATCTCTCTTAAAGATGTCGCAATAGAGTATCCGCAGGATCCGTTTATTCGATTGTTGGTGCAGCTTTGCAAGACCATCACTCGTTCTGTTACTGAGATATACGGCCAGCGGCATGAGTCTCTTCTGCACATGTGGAGAGTCGCTCGGTCCATTGCGGATGACATTCGTGGTCATGAAGCACATCTACAACAAGCTTTGGGTCTTGGTCTTGATAGTAGCATCCAGGCGGGATCCATTGGGGTTCGACAAACAATATTCATTACTTGTAAGTGAACAGTCGGTATATTTTTTGACCTTACTCTGACCAGAGCTAGTATACTATCATACTCTACTTCTTACATTTCGCCCGTTCTTGATATTCCGCGGCCATTGGCAGCGCGAGAGGAATATCGCACTCAACCAGTCTAGCGCCCATGTCACAAATTACCCCAGAGAAACACCTTCTTGGCTCAACGAAGCCTGCAACCATGCCATCACTGCTGCCCAAAAAACACTCCATCACTTATGTGAAGCTTCAAGACTCAATAATCTTGTTCTGGTAAATAGACAAAATGTTGTTATAAAAGTTCCACTAACATTATCGTAGGAATTACGATACCATGGGTACTTTTTCGGTAATTCGGTATTTACTCTCATCTATGAGTTCATTCACAACCCGAATGTCGCGCCTGTCTACCTGCCATGGGTTTATGCTTCAATGCAAATTTTGTCAACTATGCGAGCTGGTGACCCGATCGCAAGCACAATTGCAGCCATGCAGACTGTACTTCGCAATATCAACCCATCGTACGAATGGGTACCTCTATTAGCAACAACTGGGGATAACATTGCGCTCCCAGGAGGGACAGCCATACAGCAAGGCCTCACCTCCGACGGCAGGCATCGATTACTGCCCAAAAACCCCGTAATTCCTCAGAACCCGTCAATAGGAATGCGGCCTGGCATATCAAATTCTCCTTGGAATCTCCCACAGGTGGAAACCTTGGAAAATCCGGCAACCGGAGGCTCTGCGGGCTCCGGGGAAGACTTGCTTGATTTTACTCAATCTGACATGGGCTGGGATTTCGATTTCTCCACCATGGACCTGGACGCGTTCTTTTCGGTTTATCAGTCAAATTCTGGCCCAGTCCTCTGACGGGCCTCACACCAAGGAATTTCATAACCTAGAATACGACTCCTTCAAACTATATCTATTTGGTCTCAATCAGGGGGATCATCCACGGAATTAGTAACCGGTGACCGGTGCAAGTGGATCTATATCCGAGGGGTGGATCTAATTGAAGCTCTGAAAGGCGCAAAAATAGAAACTCAGCGAATCAACGATCGTTTCTGACCAGGTGGGTCGCTCATATATCCGTTCGTATATTTCCGAGCACCGCGCCCCAGTGATATCCTCGCTAACACAATGGTCTTTGCAGTTTTTTAGTTGTTTTAAGGCATATCCCCTATCTATCAATTCCGACATGCTTGATGTGATCTGTTAGCAAGACCCACTCTCGGTAATATGGATTTAAAAGCATAGATGCCATAATAAAATGCGCAATATAAGAGTTCTGCTGTCTGCTGCGACTCGACATCATGGTATTTCCCTCCAATCCCACTTTAATTGGTGCGATCGCAAGTAGTCGTTCGTTTTTATTCCAGGAATACAGGCCTCCGTCATGGAAACTCCATCGTCCGGCACAGCAACCCCTGTTGATCTGGAACACGGCGATGACCAGATTCGCAAACGGCTTACAGTCACCTTCCGCGACTTAAATGTTCGAGTTACGGCACCGGATGCTGCTTTAGGAAGCACTTTATGGTCAGAGGTGGACCCGCGACAGATTGGGGCACTGCTTAAGCGTGGTGCCCGCCCAAAGAGGGTGAGCATACTCTACTATGCATCTAGTTATCCTAAACTGACTTAGTTTCTAGACGATCCTCAAAGATGTTGCTGGTCAGGTCAGGCCTGGGGAAATGGTATGCTCCCACAACTCGAGAATAGGAATGTTGTAACTAATCAACATAGCTTCTCGTGCTTGGGCGCCCAGGCTCCGGATGCACTTCCCTACTCAGAGTCCTCTCCAATGATCGGGATAGTTTTGATGAAGTAGCCGGCGAAATCAACTACGGAAGCATGGATCACGAGACTGCCAAAAGGTTCCGCCAGCAGATCATGTTCAACAACGAAGGCATGCAATCTTACCTTGAGATATGTCGAGCTCAATGCTAACTGCACTGCAGACGACGTTCACTTCCCAACCCTTACTGTCAACCGTACAATGAAATTCGCCCTTCGAAACAAGGTTCCCAACGAGCGCCCGGAGCACCTGAGGAACCGCAAGGACTTTGTGCAGAATCATCGTGATGAGATTCTGGATTCACTAGGAATTGGACACACCAAGAAGAACCTAGTAGGAAACGAGTATATCCGAGGCGTGTCAGGAGGTGAACGTAAGCGCGTTTCTCTTGCTGAGGTCCTGGCTGGGCAAAGTCCAGTCCAGATGTGGGATAATCCTACTCGGGGATTGGATTCGAAATCAGCGGTGGAATTTGCTCGAATGCTCAGACGTGAAGCGGACCGAAACGACAAAACAATCATTACTACTACTTACCAAGCCGGAAACGGTATTTATGACCAGTTCGACAAGGTCCTTGTCTTAGCTGAAGGCCGTGTCACTTACTACGGCCCTCGCCGAATCGCAAGGAAGTACTTTGAAGACCTTGGATTCATCTGCCCCAAGGGCGCAAATGTCGCAGACTTCCTTACATCAGTCACTGTCGTTACCGAACGCACAATCCGACCCGGTTGGGAAGAGAAGGTGCCCAATACACCAGAAGACTTCGAAAACTGCTATCAAAACAGCTCCATCTGCAAGGATCAAATAAATTCTATTGTGGACCCTCAGAAGCTGAGCTACGAAGCCGAAGACCTTGAGATGGCAGTATCTAGTGAAAAGCGCAAACAGCATATTCCTCGGAACAACAGTGTTTACACAGCCAATATCTGTGATCAAATTTCCGCTTGTGCTCTTCGCCAGTTTCAGGTTATCTGGGGTGATAAACTGTCGCTATTTGTCAAAATCGGGTCAGCTATAATACAGGCTCTAGTCTGTGGAAGTTTGTTCTATAACTTGGCAGAGGTAAGTAATCCGGAAGCTCTCCACCCGACCCGACTCAAGAACACCTGGCTGACAGTTGAAACATCAAGGATTCGAGCTCGATATTCTTACGACCCGGTGTTTGCTTCTTTCCGGTGTTATATTTCCTCCTTGAAAGTCTGTCTGAAACGACTGCATCTTTCATGGGCCGGCCGATTCTTTCTCGTCAGAAGCGATTCGGATTTTACCGACCTACGGCCTTCGCTATTGCCAACGCTATCACTGATATCCCAGTCGTGGTGTTCCAGGTGACCTGCTTCTCGCTCATCCTTTACTTCATGGCTGCTCTTCAAATGAACGCAGGAAAGTTCTTTACATTTTGGATCATTGTCATTGTACAGACATTGTGTTTTGTACAATTATTCCGAGCCGTTGGTGCTGTATGCAAACAGTTTGGAAATGCATCTAAAATATCCGGCTTACTGTCCACCGTCTTCTTTGTCTATGGAGGTGAGTATTTGAATAGCATTGATACCAAGCATTCCAAACTGACAAGTTGCAGGATACCTTATTCCGTTCCATAAAATGCATGTGTGGTTCCGTTGGATCTTCTACCTCAATCCGGGAGCGTATGCATTTGAAGCACTCATGGCCAATGAGTTTGTTGGACGCAAATTCACTTGCATAGAGCCCGACTATCTTCCTTACGGCACCGGATACTCCAGCTCAGTGTCTGTCCACCGTGGATGTTCAGTCCTTGGAAGTGACGATGAAGGTATTATTGATGGGGCAAAATACATTCAAGAGCAATACAGTTACTCAGTGCATCACATCTGGAGAAGCTTTGGTATTTTGATTGGTTTTTGGTTTTTTTTCATCTTTCTGACTTCTTGCGGGCTTGAACTCCGGAACAGCCAAAGTGGATCATCTGTTCTACTATACAAGCGTGGCAGTGAGAAGACTTGTGGAAAGGAAGAAGGTGAGAAGTCAAAGGAGGCAGATGCTGGCGCATTTTTAGGCTCGGTCAAGCAGTCAACCTTCACATGGAAAGATCTTGACTACCATGTACCTTTCCATGGTGAGAAGAAACAGCTTCTGAGCAAAGTGTTTGGATTTGTCCAACCTGGAAACCTGGTTGCCCTTATGGGAGCTTCTGGAGCCGGAAAAACAACTTTGTTGGACGTGCTTGCTCAGCGCAAGGATAGCGGAGAGATCTACGGATCAGTTTTGATTGACGGCCGCCCTGTTGGAATCAGCTTCCAGCGAACTACTGGTTACTGTGAACAGATGGATGTGCATCTCGAGACAGCCACCGTCAAGGAGGCCTTGGACTTTTCGGCCGTTCTTCGCCAGCCATCGACGATTCCACATGAAGGAAAGATCGCTTACGTCGAGCATATTATCGACCTTCTGGAGCTGCGTGATATCAGCGAAGCACTAATCGGAGGTATGTTCGCCTGATGTCTTGAATTCACTGGACAGCGATACTGATTATTCACAGTACCCGGAGCTGGACTTAGCATCGAACAGCGCAAACGCGTGACCCTGGGCGTTGAGCTTGTTGCTAAGCCCACATTGCTGTTTTTGGATGAACCCACTTCCGGGCTTGATGGGCAAAGTGCGTTCAACATTGTGCGTTTCCTTCGCAAACTGGTCGATGGCGGCCAAGCCGTGCTGGTAAGTTGTAAATAACTTGAAACATATTTTCATCTTACTAATGTCTTAGTGTACAATTCATCAACCATCTGCGGTACTATTCGACGCATTTGACGGTCTTCTCTTACTAGCTAAGGGCGGAAAAATGACATATTTCGGAGAAAGTGAGTTTTAACTTTTGGGGTGATTGGTTGATCAAGCAACTAATGACTCATTTGTGGTTATAGCTGGCAAGGAGTCAACCAAGATTTTGGACTACTTCGCCCGGAACGGAGCGCCATGTCCCCCCGATGCCAATCCAGCAGAGCACATTATTGATGTCGTTCAAGGAGGTGGTACTGCAGAAAAACAAGATTGGATCGAAATCTGGAACCAGTCAGAAGAGCGCAAGCAAGCACTCTCAAAACTTGATGCTCTCAATGAAAGTAGCAAAGATGATTCCGAATATGTTGAAGATACTGCAGATTTTGCGACCTCGCACTGGTTCCAATTCAAGACGGTTTCTAAGCGCCTCAGCATTCATATCTGGCGTTCACCAGTACGTTGCTGCAATGTCATACAAATCAGGTCACAAATGCTGACCTTCACATAGGACTACATGTGGAACAAGATCTTTCTCCATATTTTCGCGGCACTTTTCAGTGGATTTACCTTCTGGAAGATTGGAAATGGCACTTTCTCCCTTCAGTTGAGACTGTTTGCCATTTTCAACTTCATCTTCGTCGCTCCAGGCTGTATCAACCAAATGCAGCCGTTCTTCTTGCATAGTCGTGACATTTTCGAAACCCGAGAGAAAAAGGTGAGTACGCTAGTGGAATCCTACTGCTGTGCAAGTATCGCTAACCCCGGTGTCCATATAGTCGAAAACCTATCATTGGAGCGCCTTCATTGGAGCACAGACCCTGACGGAGATTCCATACCTTATCATTTGCGCCACATTATATTTTGCATGCTGGTACTTCACAGCAGGGCTTCCGGTAGAGGCCAGTGTTTCCGGACATGTCTATCTTCAGATGATTTGTAAGTTACACCAAGTATTCAACGAGCGTTCGTCCGAGTACCTAACATCAAGACAGTCTATGAGCTCCTATACACATCCATTGGCCAGGCAATTGCGGCTTATGCACCGAACGAGTATTTCGCGGCTGTGATGAACCCCGTCCTGATTGGTGCCGGCCTGGTCAGTTTCTGTGGCGTGGTGGTTCCTTACTCCCTTATGCAGCCATTTTGGCGGTACTGGATTTACTACCTGGACCCTTTCCACTACTTGGTTGGTGGGCTATTTGGCGAAGTGATCTGGGATGTCAAGGTCAAGTGCGAAGCATCGGAATTTGTGCAGTTCACCGCACCGTCTGGTCAGACCTGCGGCCAATACATGGCCAACTTCCTCGCCTCACAGACTGGTTATCTAGCTGATAAGAACTCGACTGGGATATGTTCCTTCTGTCCGTATTCGGAAGGTTCCGATTATGCGAAGACGTTCAATCTTCAAGAGAAATACTATTCGTGGAGAGATGTGAGTATACCCTGGTTTATCTGGTTTATCTGGCCTATATTGCGATACTAATTGTTCTTTTAGACGGGTCTCACTGCCCTATTTTGCATCTCATCTTACGCCTTGGTATTTTTGATGATGAAGCTGAGGAGCAAGAAGACTAAGAGTGCTCGTTCTGAATGAGAGATGGCGCCGACCATAGGGCCTTTTTAAGTTAGTGTCGGCATCACCTATAGATAAATTTCAACTTCTAGGGGTACACTTACACGATAAGTCTCTTGTGTACCCAATTTGCTTTCCACTTGCTGTGTTGTAAGATAGTCGATGGTCACATGGCCCAGGGAGCTGAGGTTGCACAATATATATTTCGAGATTCATGGATGTGATTTTCGTCTACATCGTCCCACCACCATAATTAAACTCATTTAAATGTTTGATGCTCAATTCAAACGTCACAGAGTACATGATCTACCGTTTCAATTTCTGTTCGTCTGTTTGCGGATTGAGCCGTTGACTACGGCAGTGGCGGATCCCGAGGTTCCTCCGAGGTTTCCAGTAAGATCGACAACCCACGTGTTGAGGAGGACAAGTAGCAGCCAAACAACCCCCTGGATTCTACACTGTATCAACGCCCCTGGATGTCTTGAATATGCGGTTCGATATTCTTGCGATCCTCCCTCTGGCTGCTAGCGCGGTCAACATCATCTCATCCAATGATGACGGCTGGGCGGAAGTGAACATCCGCGCTCTATTCGAGTCCCTAGGAGCGGCAGACCATTCAGTTGTGGTATCTGCGCCCGCCGAGAATCAGAGTGGCAAGGGTTGTTATGCCTCACTACTCCGTACGTTCCGCTCTTTTATTGACGCGCCACTACAGGGTCAATGGAAGCAGAGCCAACTGTCTTGACTGAGCCATGCGAGTTCAATAGCTGCCCATCTGGCAGCCCGGCCGTGGGATTCAATTCCTCAGAGGTCAGTATCGTCACCGCTGTTACCAGAACGGTAGACTGATCGTATAGTTAAATAGCCCCGACTGGGTTATGTCAATAGCTACCCGGTGACATCAATCCAATACGGCATCAATACGCGTGCCCCTAAATTCTTCAACGGCCCCCCAGACTTGGCTGTCACAGGTCCAAATGTCGGCAATAACATTGGCATCGCAGTTTACTTCTCCGGAACAGTGGGCGCTGCCACCTACGCTGCGCATGATGGAATCCCAGCTATCGCCTTCTCCGGTGCTAGTGGCTCTCAGACTTCGTGGGAAAGCTCGCGGCCTCACTACAGTGATGTCTACGCCGATTTGGCAACCAACTTAACAAACCAGGTGGTTGCTGCTGGCAAACCATACCTGCCGGACGATGTCTGGCTGAACGTCAATTTCGGAAAGGTTTCCGACGAATGCACAAACCCGGCCGATTTCTCTTTCGTCTTGTCCCGCATCCATATCGCAGTCCCATTTCTTACTCCGAATGATGTGACTACGTGTGGCAGATCGAGATTGCCAAGCGAAGTTGAAGTATCTCTAGCGTCTGGGTGCTATGCAAGTGTCTCAGTTGGGATGGCAGCATCGAAGAACGATGCCGACGCTGAGATGCAGGCGATTGTTTTGAAGAAGCTGGGGAATTTCCTGACCTGTCTACCGTGATTGGTGTAAAAAAACAGTGGTGCCAAGAACGTGCCGATCATGTTGATCATCACCACGTGTTATATTCAGCCATGGTGTATTGTTCAAGAGAATATTAGATCTCTGCCAAGGTGCATAAAGACCGCTACTATATACTAAATCTAAACTAGCTTCAATTAAGCATAGATACCCGTTTGGCAAGCGGATAAATTGCGTCAGCTTGTGGGGTGTGGATTTTTTGAGTTAGAGAGACGTAACGAAACGAATCACCGGGCCTGTCGATCCCACGGGCGAACAACAATCTAATTAAGGACAGACTCTATTATCACTCACTATGCTGCATCGGGACTGAAGACCGTTTCCACCGGACTAAACTGCCTGAAGAAAGTGGCCCGGCGATAAGGTACGCATGCCGATCGAAAGGGATGAATACCACATATACAATATAAATATTCCGAAGGAAACCAGTTTGCTCATAGCACGAACTCAGTATGCCTACTTTCAATTTCAACATGATTCCTCAACTGATAGCTGGACTGGCTGCTCTCACTGTTCTGCCTGTGATGGCTAGCCCGCTTGAGCTGACACGTCGAGGAACAGTTGCATCTGACGCAATTGTCGGATTCCCCCAGACAGTTCCAGCTGGTGCCGTTGGCGACCTCTATTTGGCCTACCAGCCAAAGCTTTATGTTGTCAATGGCTGCGTGCCTTTCCCGGCCGTTGATGCAGAAGGGAACACTAAGTGAGCGAAAGAATCTCCTCTTTAACGATCTCCTGGACTCGCATATCTAATATCTGTGATGTAGCGCCGGCCTCAGCCCAACAGGAAGCTCAAATGGTGATTGCAGTACGAGCACAGGGCAGATATACGGTGAGCTTCTTCGGAACTATATTTGAATACCTAGCCCTGAGTAAATTGACTAATGGGCTTCTGTTTGCAATTTACAGTGAGAGGCGCTTCTTCAGGCAACTACTATGCCCTGATGTATTCCTGGTATTTCCCCAAGGATTCGCCTTCGACTGATCTCGGCCATCGCCATGATTGGGAAGGAGTTATTATCTGGCTTTCCACTGATGGAAGTACCACTGCATCGAATATTGTGGCCGTCTGTCCATCAGCACACGGTGACTGGGACTGCAGTACAGATGGCTACACGCTTGATGGGACCGCCTCTCTGATCAAGTACCAGTCCATCTGGCCTGTTGATCATTCCCTCAGCCTGACAACCACTGTGGGCGGCACACAGCCGTTGGTTGCCTGGGAATCATTGTCAAGTAAGTTGCCTAAATATACCCCCAAGTTCTGGAAGCGCAATCTAACATGGAATGTTAAGCTGTCGTGCAAGATGCCTTGGATACAACCGATTTTGGAGCAGCGAATGTTCCCTTCGACGACGGAAACTTTGCTTCCAACCTAGCAAAGGCAACTTTCTGAGCTCGGGTCAAGAAAGAGTTGTTATGAACTGCTTGCTGTCGCCTACTTGGCATACACCATTAGGTTGTGAATACGAATACAATACTATGACAAGGTTACGAGTGTCCAAAGTAATTAGATAAATCTTCCTCTAACTACTGGAGTCTTTCCTCCTAGCCGATAGTGCGTCAACTATATAGGCTTCATCAGTTGCACTCAGTTTCTGCTCATACTTTGAATACACTATTCTGCGACAGGTTTTATATGAGCATTGTGCCATATCGATTCAAGCAGCAGTCGGAAGACACTGATAATACCACGGGTTCATCGAAGAACAGGCTGCAGACGATGCACATGCGGTTGCTCCTGTCCAACCAGTTCCTCCACACTGACCGTAGAGAGTCTGGGATGCTCCGTCCCCACCAGCAGAAGTAGTACTAGTGGTAGCACTGGTAGTGCTCGTCGTGATAGCACTCGTAGTGCTCGTCGTGGTAGTCACTAAGGTTGTGGTAGTGGCCTTGGAGGTTGAGGTTGAGGTTGTAGTGGTCCCGCCGGTCGTAACACCTGTCCCTGTCACAGGTGTACCCGAGGCGGTGATTGCCGAGGTGGTTTGCGTGATTGAGACAGCACCACTGTAAAGAGTTGGTCCTGGGATAGTCTGGATAAAGTGATATTAGCAGGGGAGTGCGAAATCTCAGCGAGCCATCATGCCAATTAACCACTCACATAGGTTGACAGAGACGTGTAAATGTTCACGAGAATTCCAGGATCCGTTGGATTGTACAGATCAGTAGCCAAGATACCTGCTGGCTGATCTGACCCCGAGCCGGTGATTTGTAGGTTGAAGCATTGGGGATAATTTTGGGCCCCACCCTCAGTGCCTGCGCTATGGAGTGCGATCCTTCACAGAAAGGTTAGTTAGTGCAAATTTTTCGAGAAATGAGTGGGATTTACGTACAGTTCGTGTCTCAAGACATAATCCCCAGGTGCGATGTTGGGAGGAATCTCGACCATCCATCCCGAGTTCTGGGCTATGAGCTGATCATCAGCCCAAGTACCGGGGACGGTCGTGTCATCAATTAGTCCGACGGCGTCGATCTTGAAGAACTCGAGCGTGGTTTTATCCACAGTTTCACAGCCACTCGCGCCACAACTAGCAAGATAATCAACGATCGGTCCATGATGCGATTCCGGCCAGTCGGCAGTCCACTGAATAAAGACTCGGTCACCGGCAGCTACTACCGCGTGACCTTTAGCATTAGTAGCGTTGAGATGGCAGATAATATCAGAGGTCGTGTAGGCATCTAGTTTTGCAGAGTTAGAAAGGGAATTGGTCTTGGTCAAAGAGGATGGAATAACATACCCGGAGCAATGAAGCCATTGGCAGTATTTGGGGTACCCCAAGCCACGACGACTGGAGGCGATTCTGTATAAGGATAGCTGTTTATGTCCCATCCATCGAAGGAGACACCGTTAATAACGATGTTGGTGACGTGACCATGGCCCGCAACGAGAGACACAAACAGAGCGGAGCCGAGAAGGCTATACATTGCGGATTTATTGAAATAAGCAGGTTGAACAAGCTGGATTCTCGAAGAAATAGATGCGTTGAGTGGGAATTGGGCAACAGAAGATGGTCATATTTATAGTGATCTAAAGGAGTACAACTTGGTTTCATGTGCTGTGCTCCTGGTCAATATCTCTAATCTGCCTCGGATTGAGAATTCAATTAGTACCAGGAATAAAGACCAATCGGATACACTTTACGCAAATTTAGGACCAAACTGATCATTCTGCACGGAGAATGACTTAGCCTAGGGGTATTTTCGCAAGGAGTCACAACGCCACCAGCGGGGTCGCGCTGACTCCGTGTCGAGATAGCTCAGGATATCCATCAAGAAGAAGTAATCATGCAATGCAACAAGGGGTCAGGCCAGGCGCATGAAGCTGTGGTTGTTTTGGAAGAGAACCTGACACACTGGCCCGTTTGGAGTGTCGGTAGGCGCCCTTGGCACTAGTTTGGGAAATGTGCCATCGAAAGAAGATAGGGGACTATTATTCAAGCCCTGTTATTCCATTATGAATTTGAGATGTTCATTCTTCATCTATCCCGTTGTCGAAAATTGGCGAAACTAGCGAAACTCGCGAATTTGGCGTTTGAGTGGAAGAGAAGGATAATGGATGCGAAATACCGATACCTCCACGAGCAAGATAGTAATATCTGAACTCATGAATCCAGCGCCAAGACGGAGAAAACTACCGAGAGTGAGGTAATAACTCCGTGAAAGTCTTGCGAGTTGCCGCGTTGACATATTTACCATCGGCTTCACATTTCCGCCGGGAGGTTCCAATCGACAACCTCAAGCTAAGAGTATTTCACGTGGGTGAGTTTGAGATATGTTCAGGATCAAACACACAGTCTAATTATGCGATATGAGTGTTTATAGACTGCGGGGTTTGGGTTGTAGATGGAGGTGCATGGTTGGTGGCTTGACAGCTTTAATTGGACCTTGGAACTCGTAGTACGGGGCAACAGCCAAATCGGGTCTATGCAATGATTGGCTATTTCCTACATACCGCCTTTTCCACCGCCCTACAATCGTCTCCGGCAATACACCGGAAATACTATAAGCCGAGACATTCGAAATTCTATTTGTGTGATGCTGGGAAATGTGTCCAGAATGCAATTTTTGAGGATAATGAAAGTATTTGAGGATATAATTGAACACAACTAAGCCCAGTAAGTAAACCAACAAGAAAAATGCACACGAACGCAACCATATTGTGTATCTAGTAGACGTAGCGGAAGTTCAAATTCTCCCGGTCCGTCTTATCCTCGAATGCATGAATGAGGGTTGGATCTGCGGCACTGAGACCTGCCTCAGCCAACAGCTTATCCTTCTTGGCGTTCTCGCGCTTGAGATGGAAGCGTAGGTAGATGACAGCGGAAACCATACAGGCGTAGCAAGCCAGATGGACACTCCATGCAATGTGGTACCGTGGTGCATCCCTGTCAAGGAACACTTGGGGGCCTTTAATCTGTTAGCTAGGAACTAAACTGCTCCACAGGGAAGCTGAGATACTTACCAATTGCGTTTCCAGCGGCCCATGACACAAATGTTGCAGCTACCACGGTGGACTTCTTAGTTTGACCAGCAATATTTCGCGACACCATAGATAACGTGAGAGTTTGGGCCGACCAGAATGACAGAGTAATGTAGTAACTAATCAGAAGGCCCACCTTAGTGGGCAAAGTGGTGTTTTCGACCGTCATAAGGACAATAGTTCCGATAAAAGACCTGTGAACTGTCAGTCTGGCCTCGCAGCAAAACGAAAAAGGAAAAACGTACGGAATGATGAAGCACAACATCACGATCGTATTCTGTTTGAACCTGTTGACCAGCCATGCGGACGACAACAGAACAACAATAATGTAACCACCCAGCACCATAGCAAGTAGCTGAGTTTGCAATACGGTGAAGTTGAAGCTCAAAACAACGATACTGAAGAATGCACCTAGACCGCTGGTAGGGAGGGTGGTGAATATTTGAACAGCACAGTAGCACCACATTTGGGGATCGCGGAAAGCCTCCCACATCTGGTATGCATGGAACTTTCTGTTCTGGATACCTGTCTGATTGGATCGAAGACGTTCTACCATGAGACGTTTGTCTTCCTCGCTGAAGCACTTGGCACGCATAGGGGAGTCAGGCATCCACCAAATGACGAAGAGCCCCCAGATAATGGAGATACATCCATATGCCAGGAAGAGTGCTTGCCAAGACTTGAGCACCTTGTCTGCCCCAATAAGGGTGAAACAGTATGCCAATAGTCCGCCGACAATCTGCTGGGCACCGTTCATCATGTACCTATTTTACCATTAGCTCGATGTACACTGCCTGGTAGACGAGTATTCACATACCAGTATGTTACCGTGGCGGCTTGTTCTTCCCGCTTATACCACATCGAGGAAAGAGTGACGAAAATAGGCTGACAGCAAGCCTCAAAGATACCCAGGAGGGTACGAACAATGACCAATCCAGTGAAGTTCTTGCAGACTGAATGGAGTGCCAGAATCATGCCCCACAGGCAGATGTTGATGCCCAGGTACTTGCCGAGTGGGACTCTTTGGATGATCCAGTTGGTGGGATATTCGACGATGAGTACAGCGATGTAAATACACGTGGTCAACCAGGAGTACTACCAGTAGGAGTGGATTTAGTATGCTGATGGAGAGAAAAGCTTGACAAGTATTCCATACCTTCTGCCCATCCTTCAGATGTGCGTCATCCTTAATCCCCATAATAGCCGAGAAGGACATAGTTCCCTTGTCCAAAGCCTGTAGGAAATATGTGCAAATCATAACAACAAGAATCCGGCGATCAATCATGCGTTTGAGGCGTGTATTTGTGGCATCGTCGATTTCCACCTGACTGTGGGCGGCATATGCTTGGATTTCCTTGTCCACACGGGTGATATCCATGTTATCTTTTGCAAGGTCATCGGATGCCGAGAGAACCTGTTCAACGTGCGAGATGTCTTGCTTGTTCTCGTACTCTCCCATAATAACTTTTGGGTGCTGTTGATGCACTGCCTCGGTTCCCTCAACAGGTACGCTCTCAATCCCCTGCTGGGGGTCATCTCTGCCGTCGGCCATGACAAAATAAAAGCAATATGTGCAAAAAGACGGTTCACCAGGGGAGACAGGTCGGACTTATAATGTGCCGCGCTTTTGTTGCCAGGGCCGTGCATGATCCCAACTAGAAGTCGCCCTAACTACATATGAGATGATTAGGCTGAAAGAGTCATGTGGCCCTTTCGGTAGCTAGGTCTATGGTATTAACCGGAAGTCAGATTCCGTCCAACCAAGTCAAGCAGTCACCCCTTCTCCTTTGCTTCCCCGGCTTTCTTGGCGAACGAGGAGGCTTCACGCTAGTCTTCTCCCCGCGCTGGGGAATCCGGGGATCTATTAGCCCGATAGCCGAACATACGTGGCTCATTGCGGTGGATCTGGATAAATACACTTTTAAGGTATTTTTATGGTTTGCAACTCGGCCTTCTTTCTCCCGAATCACGCTTGGCCCCCACGGGGATGCGTCGTGGCGTTTGAGTCAAGAGCTTATTAGTGGAAGAACTTTTGCCAATATTTGTGAGGATTGGAGCTTCCGGCACATAATATTTTGTTTCCCGGACAAAAAAGTGTGGAAAATCTTATTCGTCGAAAATACAGAGAACAGTCTCCCAGCATCACACAATGTCGTCCCCTAAGCCTACGGGCGCCCAAATTCACAACGCCGTCAACCTGTTGATTGATAACTTGGTCAATATCAAAGACGAGACAGGAACATTCCTACTGCCACTTCCTGATGGGCGCATTATTGACACAAAGTCATGGCAGGGTTGGGAGTGGACACACGGAATTGGACTGTACGGCGTGTGGAAATACTACGAGTTGACGGGCGACGAGAGATTGTTGCGCATCATCGAAGACTGGTTTGCTGCACGTTTTGCCGAGGGTGGCACTACCAAGAATATCAACACAATGGCTGTGTTTTTGACTCTCGCCTACGTTTATGAGAAGACCGGCAATGTCACCTACCTGCCGTGGCTCGATGCGTGGGCTGAGTGGGCGATGCACGATCTCCCCCGCACCCGGTACGGTGGCATGCAGCATATGACTTATATCACAGAGAACTACCAGCAGCTCTGGGATGATACTTTGATGATGACTGTTATGCCACTCGCGAAGATCGGAAAGCTTCTGAACCGACCCCAATATATCGAAGAGGCGAAAAAGCAATTCCTCACTCACATCAAATATCTTTTCGATACAAAGACTGGTCTCTGGTTTCACGGCTGGACTTTTGAGGACGGCGGACACAACTTTGCAGCTGCGCGCTGGGCCCGTGGCAACAGCTGGGTCACAATCGTCATTCCCGAGATCATCGAGTTACTCGACCTCCAGCCAAATGACCCTATTCGTCTTCACCTGATAGATACGCTCGAGGCACAGTGTGAGGCCCTTCAGCATCTTCAGTCGTCATCCGGCGCGTGGCACACTCTCCTTGACCATCCCGACTCATACTTGGAAGCCTCTGCGACCGCTGGATTTGCCTACGGTATCCTTAAGGCCGTTCGGAAACGTTACATCGGTGCCCAATACCGCCCCGTGGCTGAGAAGGCTATCAGCGCAGTGATGGGATACGTGGATGAGAAAGGAGAATTGCAGAATACCAGCTTTGGCACCGGGATGGGTGACTGTCTTGACTTTTATAAGAAGATTCCATTGACCTCAATGCCTTATGGCCAGGCTATGGCTATTATGGCTTTGGGCGAAGCGTTGCGTGGTCTGTTGTAAGAAAGGCATGTCCTAATGACTTGAATGGCAATGGAATGTGCTATGACCTAGATCATAGACCTATACAGACGCATGCTCCTCGCATGAACTGACTTGTTACATAATAGAATGAAAACAAAAATCCTGAAAGTTGAATCTTCGTTTGATCACTCCACTGGCCAGCGGCCCTGAACTTTCTTGCCTAATCCAGCT